GAATTGAAATGGAGCAAATTATATTCTGTAATTTTATGAATATGTCAAAATGAACCTCATTATATATTATGTTTAATTATAATACACTATAAAAATGTTTTAAAACAACAACCATTCTTGCCTCAAATCTGATTTCTATTTTGAAAAGAGGGAAATAATAAGCAGTGATAACAATGATAAATGAATAGAACTTGCTGTTAAGTTTCCTAAGTTCTTTGTATTTATGACTGGCTTGTGAGTGTGGGGGGCTAAAAACTAAATAATGGTGGTAGTTGTACAATATCATGAATATAATTATGCCACTGAACTGTATACTTAAAAATGATTAAAATGAGAAAAGTTAAAATGGTAAATGTTATGTTATACATATTTACTACAATAAGAATGCAATAACTTACGGTAAGTAAAATTAAAGCACAAAAAGACAAGTACCACATGATCTCACTCATATGGAATATTAAAAAATAGTTGATGTCACAGAAGTTGAAAATAGAATCCTGGTAACCAGAGGATGGGGAGAGTAGTGGGGAGGGAGGGAGGAAGAGAGAGGCTGATCAATGGGTACTAAGTCACAGTTAGATGGGAGTTAGAAGTTTTAGTGTGCTGTTGCACAGTGGGGTGACTGTAAATAATGTATTGTATATTTAAAAAAACTAGAAGATTTAAAATGTTTTCCTCATACAGAGGTGATATCTGTTTGAGGATATAGGTATGGTTACTCTGATTTAAACATTGGACAATGTATAGATGTATCAAAATATTCCATAAATATATACAATCTTTATGTTTAATATATCAATTTAAAACATAAATTTAGGGCCAGGCCTGGTGGTGCCCACCTGTAATCCCAGCAACTTAGGAGGCTGAGGCAGGAGGATAACAAGTTCAAAGCCAGCTTGAGCAACTTAGCAAAGCCCTAAACAACTTAGTGAGACTGTCTCAAAATAAAAAATAAAAAGGACTGAGGACTCAGTGGTTAAGTGATCCTGGATTCAATCCTTCGTATGGGTGGGGAGTTAGAGGGGAGCAAAGAGAGAAGGAAAGAGACTGGATGAAGTGATATACTAGTTCAAGTGGTAATAATAATGAAACATTTGTAATGGGAAGTTGAATAATCAGTCCCAAGAATAAAGTAAAAAATAGGCAGATTCTGCTTCCTTTCTATTTTCTTATTTTTATCCTACCACTTATTCCTATCAATTATTATAATTTTTTTTCACTTCTTTACTCCCTTATTTTCAGTGCTGATGTGGGAGCATGGAGAGATGTAGAGTGGAAAATAAATGGGATGTCTTTCGCCTGAGAGGGAGAAGGCTTGGGGGACTGCTGGGAATATTTACAGGGCTGTCAGGTAGAGGAAAGAGCAGGCTTATTTAGTGTGTTCCAGATGACTGAAGTAGGATTTCATGGGAAGCAGATCTTTTTTGCCTTTGAAAGCGGAATATTATTTTAACAAATAGAACAGTTTATAATGGAGTGGACTCCTTGGAATGGTGGAATGGACAAATAGAGGCTGAGCATGTTGCCGAAGATATTGCACCATTGGATGGGAATTTGGACCAGATGGTCTGTGCCTTAGCATCCCATCAGGAAGAAAAAGAAATTTCAGCTGGGATTTTGAAGAGTTTAATGAAGGAGCTCTTGGCAGAGGTGTGAATGAGATTAGAAGAGTCTACAATGGATGTTGGCACCCAAGGACGACAGTGGGAAAGCTATTATCAGGTTTGGAGGAGCAGAGGAGGGTTGCTGTTCAAAGAGCCCAGTGGAGTTGTAGACGAAGGGTCACCAACAGTTGGAAGGGGACCAACTGGCCAGAACTGGTAGTCCTTGAGGGAGCGGCTGTTGCCAGAATCATGGTGCCAAGACAAGGAAGCAGTAGCTGTCATCTCTCACTGGCAAAGCCAGATGGAAGTAGAGGGCACTGGAGCTCAAGTGATATATCTATAGGAAGGGATGACTTCCTAAGGCACTGAGCACTAAGGTTTCTTCCATCTCATTTTTCATCTGTACTCTTTGAGGCTGTGGTGCACTTGAATATCACCGCAGCCCCAATTCTTCTCCCTCAAACTTGAAAGAAGCAGAAAATGTAAAGATCACATCTAATACCCTGAATCATCCTGTGAAAGTAAGAGCTGCTTAAATTATCTGACAATGTCCATGAGAGCCAGAGAAATGTCCCTGAAACCTCAGAAGTAAAAAACTTGAAAGTCAGCCAAACCCATACTTATTGTGATGTGTTGGACACTGTTGTATGCTACAGACTTATTGGTGAGCAAGGCAAATATTCCTCTCCTCTTACATACAAGAAACAAGAGGCAGACAGTAAATCATTTAAGGTGTTATCATGTAATACAGTAAATTGGTTAAAATCATGAACAATACCATTTCCTAGTTGTGTGACCTTTATTAAATTATTTGACTTGTGTCTCAGTTACATATCTATAAATGGGGATGAATTATTGTAGCTTCCCAAGAGGGTTTGTTTGAATTATCAAGCACTACACAGTGCTAGGTGATAGAAGAGTTCTATCCCCTACTGTTTCCTTGTCTTGGCCTCATGATTCTAGTGGGAAAACACAGACAAAAGAGAACCATGGGGCTGAGTATGATGGCAGTTATGGGTCTGGGAGCCAGAGGGCTCTAGTGAGCAGACTTGCCAACACCAGGGAAGAGCTGAAGGTTCTAGAAGTAGGAATTCAACTACCTGAACCCTCATGAGTGCTGTCAAAATCTCCAGGGACAAAGCAGGTGACACTATAGAAAGTACACTCTTATAGCCTGTTGCAATAGGGATTCTTATCATTTTGGATTATTTATAGGCAAAAAGCAGAAGCAAAAATGCTTAAAAGAAGCAAAATCACAGTATCTAAGAATTCAGGCTCTGAACAAAGTAAAAAAAAAATTAATGAAAAAAAAAATAACTCAAGCTCTAATCAAACTGGTGTGAGTTCAACTCCTGCCTCTGCTACTTATTATTGCCTCTTCTGGTTTTTACTTAGCTTTGTTGAGGACCAGTTTCCTCTTTTGGAAAATGGAAACACTCATACCTACCTCACAGGTCTAAGGTACTCCAAGAGATATTCTGAAATGAGATATTTTATGATAATTACTTACTTAGCACAATGCCTAGAACATTCTAAGGCTCTAGGAGATATTGTTGCTGTTGCTTACTGCTGTTGTTATAAAAAGAGAGAATGAATATGAGCACAGCAAAATACTGATGTATTTTTGCTTTAGTTGCTCTGTATGATATCAGGGCTCATAAAAGACAACTTGAATTTTTTGGCAATCTCTGAAGCATCTGATGTAGTGTCATAGAACCAGAGCATCTGCTGGTGTTATGCATGAGCAGTTAACAAAAAGATCTCCTGGTGTACCATAAGAAAGCAAAATATCTTAATGATAAAATTTAGTACTTGAGCTTTGTTTAGTTCTGAATGATTATTTTGACATTTCAAGCTCACAGCATTGATGAAGTGAGTCTTATTGGTGAAAAATAATTAAAAATTTGGCACCTAAAAATGTTGTCATTTTCTTTCAGTTAACTCCTTTCTGAGCACAATCTGTTCTCTGAAAGGTCTTACTGTGCTGATTTAAAAAATCAGTCCATTTTGAGGTTATCTGGTAATTTCTGCCCTAATAGTTTTCAATAAATCAAACTTCAGTAATGAAAAAAGAATAAGAAAATGGTGGAGACTCTCCTTCTCCAGAAACTAATTGCTTATTTAGCACAAATTAATGCATGGTTTTCAAAGCTTTGTTTTTGTTTTAAATGATAAATTCTCTTTTGTACCAGAAATAATAAACTACTATGTTCCTGGATAGTTTATTTTTTAATGAAATATTTTGGATTGGTCTTTACTTTTACTCTTTCCATTCGCTCTGCTATGAAAATAAAATGTATATTAATTTCTAATAATGGGAAGAGGCCCATCTATTCATTATGTTAAAAATGAATAGATTTAATAAGATTTAATCTTATTTTTATTTAAATAGCACAGCACTCTCCATAATAAAAATTAAAACCTAACTAGAAATAAAATGCTTTTAAAATTCTTATTCAAAGTAGTTGTATGTTATACTACACAAACAAAATAGAACTTTAACCTATAAAAATTAATTATGAAATTCAGAAGTTGAAAACACACCTAAGGAAGTCACAATTTTATAAAACTTTGGCTTAACACTGTTAATGATTTCAGACTTAGTTGACTTTATTCTTAGGTAAATCCAAGAAAATATATGAGGAGAGAAATTATTTGAAGTTTTCCTTCTTTAGACAGTTTGGCATTTAGGGTCAAAATATTTGCAACTCTCAAAATGGTCAGAATGAGCTAATGATGTTCAGCAATATAGAAAAGTCCTATATATTTTTCTTTTTTCTCCTTTGGAATTTAATAGTTTATTTGGCACTTGCATGCAAATTTCTCATTTTTTAGGGACCATGAACAATTGAATATGTGAAAGAAAATCTTGCAATTATATTTAAAGACATTTATTTTTCTCTTTTCTTTCTCCCTCCTTTTGAAGAGAGTTTACCTCCTCGTAATTGAAGGGAAGTTTCTAGTTCACATGAGAGGCAGCTATATATTTCGAAATGAAGGATTTCTCACACCAAACCATTTGCTTAGCATCCCAAACAATTTAGCAGAAAGATTCTTCTCCAGGGACCTTTAGCTGTCATATATCTCTTTCTCAAAGAAAGTGAGTCTTGTTTATTCTTCAAGAACTCACTGACTTGATGTTACTGGTTTCAATACGTGTGACTTCTTGTCTGAATCCCTCATGCTGAGTTCTTGTGTTGTCTTTCCCCAAAGGTCATGTCCTACACAGGGTCCCCACTGTGCTGGGTCAGCAGGAACACAAGATGACCATTTTTGTTTGTCATTATTTGCTTAAACCTAGAGAAAATAATATCATTATTGATTTCGCCCTCAGGTTTTCCCCCTACAGACTATGTTGTCATACATACAGAGTAATTATTTGTTTTTACTCCACAGGCGTGCATAGGAGGTGAAGATGGATTCTCTGCTTTTCAATTTGGGCAGGACATTATTGAATAGTGAACATGATAAAGAGAATGGCTAATTTAATCTTATTTTTTCTGTTAGTCACATTGAGACGATTTCAAGCAAGTACAAGATCAAGGATCCATTAGACCTCTTTTTGGGAGGGAGAGGGGTAACTTTTGTGGGTTTCAATAGAGCTCCAAAAGTGCTGTGGCTGCTTTTAAAAATTAAATTAAATTAACTAAAAAGGCAAAGAAAAAGAGACTGCATTTTCTGAGGTTTCCCCAGAGGCTTTTATCTGTTTAAACTAACCAGGGATTTTTCACATATTGACATAAGCATTCATTTGCTAATTTGTTGGACATTAAACTGCATGGAGCTTTCCCCATCTTGAATGAAGCTGAACTGCTTGGGTCCTTAGGGCTGCTCAAGCCCTGCATCATTCCCTGCACACATATGGTTTTTCCTTCTCTCTCTCTCCTTAGATAAAAGTCAGTGCTGATCGCCTTAAGGAAAGAATGAGTTAAATGGACCAATATTCTAGGCCTGGATCTAAAACTCCCGGCCTTTTCAGAGGCCCCTTAGCACCTGCAGCAGCAAGGTCATTTGCACATACATAAATAAATAAATTAACAATGAATAAATAATTTAATCCCGGCCACACAATGCCACCTTGCAGATTTGATCCTTTTGCAGCACCCAGTGAATTTGTCCATTTCTAATTCTTTTTGATAAAGTCTTCAGATACTTGCTGACTGTCAGGCTCATTTTCGTATTGTTTTCGCTTGATTAGTTCTGTATGACCTAAGGTCGCCCTTAAAATCCACATTTCTAATGAAGACTCCCAAAGGCCTGCTTTTTAGCACTGCCCGCCCTCCACACCCGCCTCACCCCAAGAAAGTATGGAAAGTGCTTGTCATTACTCCCTTCAAAAGTGTGGACGATTTTTAGTCACCAGCCACCTGAAGCAGTCCGTCATTCACCCAAATGCAAAAATAGCTCATTAAGGGATGCTGAGTTTTCATAACCTCTTTATCCAAAGCTCTTGGATGTGCTTGTGGCAGGTCACCTGGGTCTTGGAGGACCTGGGCCAACACCCCTTTAACCCTGCTGGACAGTCCTTTTAATGACTGGCAACAGGCAAGGGCACCTGCCCACTCACACTGAGTGCCTGAGACTGTGTCCTTCATGGGGAGGAGGGTTGCTTTTTGCTTTTTAAAAAAAGCTGACTGGGCACTTGCTGCCAGCCCCTCATTTTCTGTACATCATGTGTAGGCTGTGGGCAGGGGGCAGGGATTTTGTCTCAATCTCAAGTTGATGATCCTAGAGTCTGTAGTGGAGACTTGCTCTCACTATCACACTGCTTGCTCCCTGGGCGATCTCTTCCATGCCAAAAGGTCAGCTCCTTGAATGGGAAAAAAAGCAGGATCTTGAGTTTGCTGAGTAGGATAGCCTTACTTAATGGAACCAAATTCTTCACTTCTGATTTCATTATAAAATTCACAAAGATTGTTTAAATCAATTGTTCAGTATCCTTTAATAGTTTTGTTGAAGTCTTCCTTGATTTTGGAACATCAAATTTTTTAAATTTTCAAGGTTTTTTTGGTAATTTTTTTTCTCCTTTTGTCTATTGGACCATCAAGTAAAAATTCACCATATTATGTGACATCTTACAATTGTTACTTTTTCCCAACAGTGAAAATTTGAAAAAGTAGCCTGTACTACCTCATAGAAATCTATTACATGATCCAATTTAAATCCATTTTGTATGCTGAAATGTGAAGAATAGATTTAATATACTTTGATGTATATCAGCAGTTTTCTAGAAAAATGAATGGACCTAGACTGATAGATATAGCCTTCCAAGAATTTTGTTCCATTATCTGAATTTGTAATAAGTGAATAGTCTTGGCCCCAGATAAAGTACTGTTGTCAACAGAACACCTTAGCTCAGGAAGCTCTTACTGATGTGTGTAATTCAAAATAAGATGAACTCTCTGACCATAGCAATATTTTGTGTGTCAAGGACACTCATGTAGCAAGCACTGAAAGTCATCAGTCTATGCCATCTCTGAGCCATTAAACTTTTTTCAATTTCCATAAGACGGATAATTTGGGGTTAGAAAAAGGAAAGAGATGCGTGTAACTTCAAGCACTTGGATTACCAATTTGATCTCTATGTTATTATTTTCTGGCAGTTATGCTGAGCACTCCTTGTATTCCCCATTGGAAACACTGGGGAAATTCAAAATTTATGTTATTATGGGAGGAGAAAGGAGTTTTGAAGTGATTGCACCTTTCTTTTCAGGAGAAATTAGATCCCTTGGATTTCCCTGAGTTTTGTCAAAAGCAATTTATGCAAAAGCAGAAGCATCTATACTTAGAAAGAGGACAGCGGCAGATACTCCTGGAAATGGCAAAACTGTTACAAATGCAGCATACACTAAGTCTAAACAGCAATTTTAACTTTTCTTTCTTTTGAAACTTTATTTCAAATCTACCGAAAAATATAGAGAAGCATAGCAAACAAGCATTTACCTATGAGCCAGATTTAATGACAACATTTTTCTATGTTTGCTTTCAGCTCTTTTCTTTTTAAGGAATTAAACTTTACAGATACACAGAGCCATTGTTCCCTCCCCTGAGCACATACCCTCTGTCTCTCATAATAACTCCCAACATAATTGTAGTTCTTAAGGAAACTCCATTCTCATTGTCTTCTACTAGAATGGCAATCCCAATTTATTGTACATTCATACATGAATACACACACACACACACACACACACACACAGGCTCGGTCCTCTAAACTGCCCAGCAGGGCAGCAGGGATTAGTCAGGGCTAGCAGGAGAGAGAGAGCGCGAGCACACCGGGGACCAGCCTTTTATTGGGGAACAAGAGATTCAGGGGAGAATTCCATCCAATGAAGGTTGAGGGGGCGCTGCACTCCAAGGTCAGGGTCAGTGATTGGGTCCCCGGGGTCAGTGGTCAGGCACACCCCCACACGGATGGGCTCTCTCATCAGGAAAAGGTCAGGAAAACTTCGACTTTGCCAAAGTGCCTCAGGCCCTTAAGGGGAGTCGCCCAATCACGTGTTAGAATGGCTTCCCACACACATACATAGTATAGAGCTAAGAGTGAAAAGTGTGTAAGAAAAGTTTAACAGCTGATTTTTATAAAATTTGGAATTTTCTTCTTGGAGCTTGTGTGTATTTTCTGCATATTTTCATTGATTATATATTTAAGTCATGATGAACAATGATAAGGAAGTAATGATTAAATTGACAAAAAATGTTATTAAATACTAACATCAGGCAGGTGGGATGGCTCATGTCTATAATCTGAGTTACTCAGGAGGCTGAGGCAGGAGGATTGCAAGTTCAAGGTCAACCTGGACAATTTAGGGAGAGCTTATCTCAAAAAATAAAAATAAATGGGTGTACAGCTCAGTTGTAGAACTTTTGCTTAGTTTAGTCTGAAAAAAATTACTAATATTATTTACAGTTTGCAAAAATTAAAGCATTACATTGCATGAAAAAGTATGCTCAGGCTCTTTCTAACTCCCATGACTATGGGAGACCTACCATGCAAATCAGTTGGGTCCTACTATTAACTTTGTGATAGCTTCCTTAATCCGAAGGCAAAAACCAGTTAGAAAGCAATCTCCTAATTCCTAGTTGATTATTAGCTTTAATATTCCTTAAACATCTTCTATCAGCAAAGGTCTGGAGTGGCTAAACCTGCATCTGATGATAAGGAATAATGCCTAGCACTGATATATCCCCCTTATTCCTGGTGCCTTTATGCAGGGCCTTTGTGTGTGACTACGCAGCAGTCCTGATGATTCCCTTTCATACCTTCAATTTCATTCCATCTTTTCTCTGGTTCTTTGGAAGTGGCCCCATGTGCTCTGGTTTCCTACATTGGAATCTAGATCTGAGACTGGGGCTGTGGGGGAAGCAGGTTGAACTGTTCTCATGATCTGCTTTGGTTTATATCTTCAAACATGGTAAATGGTAAAAGGAGATCCTTTGAGTACAGTGTGGCTCACACTGAGCGGTGCTTTAGTGGTTAGGTGGAATCTCCCGCTTGTTAGGAGTGTTTTCTTGCTGTGTAATCATCTTTGTCTATGCCCCTCAGGATCTATTGAAAATGGGTGGTGTAAAGGATCAAGATATTCTTACTTCTTTTATTGTTTCTTTGCCATACCTCAACATCTCAACATTGGTCATAGTCAGTTACACTTAATTTACTTCAAGGATTTTTAACTCAGCAGAAGGAATATTTCATCTACTTCTACTATGGTTTGGATATGAAGTGTCCCCCCAAAAGCTCACATGTTGAAAGCATAATCCCCCATGCTGCAAAGATCAGAGGTGGACTTTTAGGCAATTATTAGGACTCTATCCTCATTAGTGCATTGATTCATTTGCTGTATTAATCCATTAATAGCTGAATGGACTCCTGGGTGTCAACCATAGGCAGGTGGGAGGTATTCTTGGACTATGGACTATGTCTGTCCTTAGACCCTTTGCTTCTCTCTCACTTTCTTTCTGTTTTCTGGCTGTCATGATCAGAGAAGCTTTCCTCCACTATGCCCTTCCACCATGATGTTCTTACTCACCTTGGACCCAGAGCAATGGAAAGGGCCAACTATGAACTAAATCTATGAAACATGAGTCCCAAATAAACTTTTTTTAAGTTGTTCTTTTCATGTATTTAGGACACAGTGATGAAATGCTCACTAACAGAGTACTTGAAGGGCATAATGGGCATAATGAAAGGCAGTGACCTGAACCACACCTCCCCAAAGGGGAAAGTAACTGGGGAAAGACCATGAGTTCCTCCAGAGGTCAACAACTTCATCCAAATTCACAAGTCCATTTCTGAATGTCATTTCTTTAGCAACAAGGGAATAGTAAATATGTCCTTGGATCATGCTAGATTGTGAGTGTTCCCCAAAGTCACACTTACGCAAAGCTTGGTTGCCAACCTGTGACACTACTGAGAAGTGGTGGGGCCAGGTGGGGAGGGGTTAGGTCATTGGGAGTGTGCATAGGAAAGGGATAGTAAGACCTCAGCCCTTTCTACTCTCTTTTGCTTCCTGACCACCAAGAGGTGCATACCTTTCTCTGCCATGTCCTCCCTTTCCAATGTACTGCCTCACAAAACACTCCAAACCAATGGGAACATCCAGCAGAAACCTCC